GAATATGACAGGAAGGAAACAGGGGAGAACAAAACTTACTTTTTACAGTGAGCATATTATGTTTGCCATTGGAAAAAGAAACTGAAAAAAAAAAAAAACAGGTAACAAGAGGCATAATAACTAAATGCAATGTGGTATCCTAGATCGAATCCTCAAAAAGAACATTCACGTAGCACTCAGGGAGCTGAGGTGGGTGGATTGCTTGAGCTCACGAGTTCGAGGCCAGACTGAGCAAAAGCTAGACCCTGTCTCTACTAAAAATAGATAAACTGATGCAAGAAGATCACTTGAGTCCAAGAGTTGGAGGTTGCTGTGAGCTATGATAACACAGCACTCTACCCAGGACAGCTTGAGCCTCTGTCTCAAAAAAAAAAAAAGGACATAGAAAACTGATGAAATCCAAATAAGGTCTGTAGTTTAGCTTTACAAAATAAATAGAAGCATACAAATTATCAGAAAAACATTTGCAGAAAAACTGCAAACATGTTGTGACCCAGGAAATGGTGGCAGTGCCCACTAATAAACAGATTAGTATGTCCAGAAACAAATGGTGAAACCTTCCACAACCTACAAAAGAGAAGTAAAGACATTATAGTTTTTCCTGGCTGTGTACAAAAGCCAATTTAAGCCAACTGGGTACAGAAGATCAGTAGAAGACAATTGTCTATGACAATTTGTGTCTCACTGGATGCACAAGGTCTCACTCTTGCTCAGGCTGGTCTCGAACTTGTGAGCTCAGGCAGTCCACTCACCTTGGCTGAGTGCTAGGATTACAGGTGTGAGCCACTGCGCCTGGCCCAAGCAAATAATTATGAATGAAAGATGTGAATAGGGTAACTTTCAAAGGCTAATAGAAAGTATGGACTGTGGAGGTGCAAAGATCATCCCAAAAAAACCGCCCTGACCTGTTCCGTCGGTGTGAATTTTCTTCCCTTTCTCTCCCACCAAGACTTCCTGACTGTAGCTAGTAAACTCCACAGAACTTGGCACCACCATTTTCACATTTAAATCAAAACCACTCAGCCTCTCACACTCATTATGGAACTTAAATGTCTACCTTTTTAATGAAAAAAAGAAAAGTGATAATAGTAAATACGATAAATGAACTGTGCTTTTTTGTTTTTTGCAGTTTTTGGCCAGGACTGGGTTTGAACCCACCCCCCCCTGGTATATGGGGCCAGTGCCCTACTCTTTTGAGCCACAGGCACAGCCCAATGAGCTGTGCTTTTAACTGTGTCCAAACTATTGTTTTCCAATATAGCACTTTTGATACACAATCCAAGGCCCAAAATGGAATATTGCAGAATGATCTTGAAATTTATAGGTGGCTGGGTGCAGTGTTGCTGGGATGGTGATAGAAAGCAGAAACAGTAGAATTCTATACTTATAAAAACTAACAGCATGTGCCTTTAAATTTATTCATCTTCTCATGGAACATCTGAACTTAAACCAGGTTTCTCTCATAGCTGCCTACTGGCTGTGTTCATAGAGTGAAAATTGTAATGTGTGGGCATGGTATCCTCGTATCCTTTTAAGAGAGATCACAAAGAAAATCCTGGCCTGTTTAATAGAACCTACATGTAAGAGGTGAGACAAAAGATTATTTGATCAATTACATATAAGATGGGTTTCTACCATGTTTCCCTGAAAATAAGACACTATCTTAATTTCTCAAGAAGACAACCTAGGACTTATTTTCAGGGCGCCTAAATGCATGGCGTGGGTATGCAGATAGCTGGGCATTGTGGTGGGTGCCTGTAATTCCAGCTACTTGGGAGGCTGAGGCAAGAGAATTCCTTAAGCCCAAGAGTTTGAGGATGCTGTGAGCTGTGACGCCACAGCACTCTACTGGGGGCAACATAGGGAGACTGTCTTAAAAAAAAGAAAAAAGTACAGCAACAGAGAATAAGTTAGGAGGTCTCATATCCACCCAGTAAGAGTTCCAGAAAAATGAAACACAAAATGGAAAGAAAATAAACCATTCTAAAAATGGCCCTTAGTCCAAAAATGATACAATTCTTCAGAGGATGAGAGGACTATGATGTAAGCAGAATGACAAATGTCCCACAGACCTAGATATAAGTTGGCGAAATTTTAGGATTTCAAGCATAAAAAGAAAATTCTCTAAGTTTTCCACGAGGTAAAAAAGGGCTATTTATCAGTAAGTAAAAAGAGAAAAGAGAGAAAAGTAGATTGGTGTCTGACTTTAATCAGCAATACTGGATGTTAGAAAAATTCTGAAGAAAATGATTTTAAGTCTAAAAACATAACTCAAAAAAAAAAAAAAAAAAACCTTAAACTGAGTATTCAGCATTTAATTGCTTGAAGACTTGCTGCAGTACACCCAAAAACTAATCCTGGAATGCAAGATAAAGCAATCAGGAGGAAAAAAGCAAATCTCATGGTTGTCTAATAACTACTTAGGCAAAGTGTTGAAAAACACACACCAAGAAAGATTAACCTGCGACTCAAATCACACCTGATTACATCAGAGACAAGGGCCAAGTGGAGAAGGGAAAGAATCCTAAAATAGGGACTTACATGGGAAATGGGGGAGGATGATGGCTACTAACTCTAAACATAAGGAAAAAGGGGCCTTGGCGCCCATAGTACAAGTGGTTAGGCAGCCAGTCACATACACTAAGGCTAGCAGGTTTGAGCCCAGCCCCGGCCAGCTAAACAATGACAACTGCAACAAAAAATAGCTGGGTGTCCCAGATGCTTGGGAGGCTGAGGCAAGAGAATGGATTAAGCCCAAGAGCTGGAGATTGCCGTGAGCTGTGATGCTACGGCACGCTACCCAGGGTGACAACTTGAGACTCTATCTCAAAAAAAAAAAAAGAAAAGAAAAAGGGAGACCACTGAAGCAAGAGCAACAGGTTTAATTATCTCTACATCACTAGGAGAAAAAAGCCAACAAAATGGTGAAATAAAAAGAAAGCATGATGTACGGAAACAAGATGGCCAAGAGTAGTTCAAATATTTTAATAATCTCAATCAATATGAATGGATTAATCCCCCAGAGCTGTTTTGGTTACATTGAGGAAAAAGGAATTTTGGGCGATATTGAGAACAAAGAAATAGTCACATAATATTTTCAGAAATCAATTGATCCAATGGGTAATAAAATAGGAATGTAGAAAGTTTTAACAATTACCAAGCTAAATCCAGAAAACTGGCAAATCATTCCTCCACCCTTCAAAACTCATACGGCATTTACAAATATTGACCGTGTAATTTCATAAAATATTACAGAAACCATTTACGCTATGTTCTATTAGCTTGGGAAATTTAAACATATTTTTTAAGTAATCCCTAGGTTAATTAAATATAAAGGCAACTGAATCTGAAAGTACCCATTAGAAATAAACAATAGTCACACAGCGAAAGACTGTTGGGCATAGCCAAGGAAGTACTCAGAGGAGTATTTTCAGTCTTTTATTAGAAAACAAAAATTTAAAAAATAAAACGTTTATACAATGCACCCTAAGGCACTGATTGATGTCAATTTCCCTGGAGATCTGGTGGTCTGTGAAAGTAGTTCAGGAGCCTGTGAATCCATTCATGACGTTTAAGCCTATGGAATCTGTATGCTAACCAGTGACAGAAGTGCAGACTGCATTGTATTTTAGAATATCAACTGATGAACTGATTGGGAACCACGTCTTTTAATATATAATAATTAAACTGAGTTCCTTAAAGTCAAGCTTGGCCTCATTCAATTTTACACCTTCAATACAAACACAGTGAAGACATGTAAAAACGGTGAATTAATTATTGGGCAGATAATTTTCCAAAACATGGGGTCCATTGAAGCAGAATGAAACAGAATATAAAGGTCTGTATGGTGGTTACAAGGCTGGAAAGTATTGACTAAACATGAATCATAATCTCAAATCTGTGATGTCACTAATTTTATATGCCAGTTGTCCCAGGACTCTGTAGAGATCTTTCCTGATAGCTGCTACTGGTTATTTTTTAACCTTTCTTCTTTGTAGGCGAGATGGATAAACCTCAATAATTATACTATCAGATAAAATTAATTTTTTAACTAGTAACAGTAGACTTATTTGTTTAAAATGATCCTCTTTTAGGTGGTTTAGGGTAGAGCTATGCCTATAGCTGGCACAATGACCAGAACACAAGATCAAATTCTCTGGTATAACAGGAGACAAAAAGATCTCAGTAGCTTTTATTTACTTAAAAAACTTAAAAAGGGTTCAATGACTACTTTCATAGGTCAAATTTTAATTAAACCTTAAGATGGAGATTATGACTCACATTATCTCACAAATCACTGCTTCTACTATGATAAATGAGTTGAACCTCATCAAGTACTATATTTTACATACTTTTTTTTTGCAGTTTTTGGCTGGGGCTGGGTTTGAACCCGCCACCTCCAGCATATGGGGCCGGTGCCCTACTCCTTTGAGCCACAGGCACTGCCCTATTGTACATACTTTTTCATTAGGGGAAAAAGGTCCAATTCTGAAGTATACCAAAAAGAAGCACTTTGCTTGTATCTAAACATATAGGGGACATATAAAATTGCAATTAAATTACAGAGGCCATATCTGTTTTAATGTTTCAAACATTCAATATAGCTATGTAAGTGATGCTTCCAGGTGAATTTACACAGTCTTTTAAATAAATAGGAAAAATTTAAATTCCAAAGCCTTCTGATTATATTAATTTGATCTGGTTTATTTTAAAAATATTCCCCCTTGCTACAATTAAAGAATATCTCTTCTTCTGCATTTAAAACAAATTGGCTGTCGCTCTGCCTAATTTAGCTTAGCTGAATCAAACACCTTAAGAGCCTTCTTCTTTATGACTAAACCAGTCTTCATTTCATTTCTTAACAAGTCCAACAGGAGTTTTCCTTACATGAGAGCAATACATAAAAATAAATACAAATAAAAAGAAATATTTTTCTAGCAAGTATTATATGCAATTCCAACAATACAGACACAGTCTTAAATGAATCCATTCACTAAGTCTTAAAAATCAGTTGTGTATTTATTTGCATAGAACCAAAGGAAAAACTTGAGACTCCATCATAATATCCTATGAGGCTTACAATTTAACAATCCAGTTTTTTAAAAAAGAAATAGTTTTTGATTTCCTCCACTAACTTGCAGACGGTACTGTGTTACATGCTTCAGTTATGTGTGCTGAAACATCAGAGGCTACTTCTTTACTTTGCACAGAATTAGTATCAAGTCCAAAAAAGTCTTTTTTGATGATATACCGAACACACTGCAAAATCACATTTCTTTCATGCCGAATGTCTGGAGCTAAAAGCTAAAAAATAAACAAACGAAATTGTAAATAAAATATACCCAGGAAACACAATCTAAAATATTATATGTACCTCCCACATATAAAGAGCACAGAACAATAAGAGGTATGTTTTTATTTACTAATCATTTTGCTAAAGAACAATGCAAAAATCTGTCTTTTTATACTAGGACTATCTAACTTTTTAGATAGAACTAATGTTGGCATTTGAGGCCTTCTTTAGGAGTATTTAGCAAAGGCCAAGACAATAGGTTTGAAAGCATGCGATTCTTTAATCTAAAAATTGACAAATAGATACATCACATTTAGTAACAAAGAAACTGACAATAAAAAAATCCCAACATCACTTGACTTTCATAACTTCTCATTTCTGTGTTTCTTCTAATTAAAAGAAAGCTAAAAATCCCTAGTCCTCAGAATAACTACATAACGAAGAAATAACATGTAATCTACAAAAAGGAATTTATTTTACTTTCTGATGTCATTAATATAAGTTCAGAAAACATCACAAAGGAAATTTAGTAGAAGATGATTCAATTTACCACTTGTAATTTATTATATATAACACTGACATTTACAAAATAGAGTATATTTGGGTGGCGCCTGTGGGTCAGTGGATAAGGCGCTGGCCCCATATACCAAGGGTGGTGGGTTCAAACACGGCCCCAGCCAAACTGCAACAGAAAAAATAGCAGGGCATTGTGGCAAGTGTCTGTAAGTCCCGGTTACTCAGGAGGCTGAGGCAAGAGAATCACCTAAGCCGAAGAGCTGGAGGTTGCTGTGAGCTGTGATGCCACAGCACTCTCCCAAGGGTAACAAAGTAAGACACTGTTCTTTAAAAAAAAAAAAAAAGAGTATATTTCATACCCACCTTAATAAGCAATGGTGTTTACATGTAGCATTTCAGAGTATCACTACACAACACTTCAGCTACAGCATAAGGACTTATCTAAAAATTCAAAAACACTTTTCACAGGACTCAGTGCCTGTAGCTCAGTGGCTAGGGTGAGCTGCTACACCATATACACCAGGCTAGCCATATACACCAGGGTTGGCCTGCCAAACAACAATGGCAACTACAACAACAAGAAGTAGCCAGGTGCTGTGGTGGGCACCTGTAGTTCCAGCTACTTGGGAGGCCGAGGCAAGAGAATCACTTAAGCCCAAGAGTTTGAGGTTGTAAGGTTGCTGTGAGCTATGACACCATGGCACTCTACCAAGGGCGAAATAGTGAGACACTGTCTCAAAAATAAAAAAAAAAACAAAAAAAAAACACTTTTCACAGAATGTCAACAGTTTTACAATGCCACTAAAAAATGTAGAGCTGAATTACTCTTAAGACATGAAAATCTTTGAATAGCTTCATGTCCATAAGAATCAAAAGATGCATGCTTCTTTATAATTTGAGAAAAGAAATTAGATTTTTGAGCACATAATGCTAAGAATAAAGCCAAGAATGCACAAAATTAATACAAATAAATAAAGGTATGGAAAAAGTGAAGACAGTCCCCAAAGATACACGAATTGCCAGGAAACCTTAGGTCTTTCTTCCTTTATTTTGTGGTTGACAATAGCTGTTTATATTGAAAACCCTTTTTCTTCAGCCTGCTAGTGTGTTTTTAGCTGTGCTTTCAATGAAAATTTTTTAAATGTCAATAAACTTTTATACATATCTCCTTACCAACAAGTTAAACCTATATCCTTTTATATGAAGAGGTTTTGAAAACTGTACTATTCCACATGAACTGAACACAAGTTATATGCCAAATGTAGCTTCGGAATTAAGATACACAGACAAGTCTCCAAGGACCCGACGTCTCCGGGAACCTTAACATGCACATGTGTGCACATGACAGTGGTGTTAATGACAGAACAAAAAGATTAGAATGTACAAAAAAATAATTTACCATTTCCAAGAGATTAGGATGGTGTGTTCTTGGTTCAAATAATGTCTGATAGTTGTGATAATCTTTTCTCCTCTTAGTGTTCATCTTGTTAAAACTTTTCTTTCGGTTCTCACACTTGGCTTCTGAGAAATGTCCAACAGTTGCTTTAACATCTTGACTTGGACTCTGAGGAGTACTGCTATGAAGAATCTGGTTTTCTGCCTGAATGTCGGCTTCCGTCTTAATGGGAGTTTCTGATTGTGTTGAAAAACACAAAAATAAGAAAATAAAAAACAATTAGACCTTTCAAAAAATAAGCAAAACATCTATAACAATCCCTCCAGTTATAATATTGGCTACATAATAACTTAAAGCTATTAAAGATTTTGTAAGATATTTGTAACATATTCTAATAGTTTTCACACTGGGAGGTATAGTTGCCAAGAATTGAGAATACCACAAAGAGCCATAGAAAGTGATCCCTATCAAGGAAAGGATACCAGATGGAAATCTGGAGCCACACAAAAGATTGAGGCGTGCCAGAGACAGTAGATAAGCAAGTAAGTACAAAAGACTTTCTTCTTCATTTGAAAAAAAATTTTACAAAATAATGTAACTATCTATTTTAAGTAAAAGTCATAGTACATGTGAAATTTGTAACATCTAAAATCTATAATAGAAATAAAATCTATAACAATAGCACAAATGGAGGGAGGAAGAATATTTAAGTAGCATATTACTGTAAAATTCTTAAGTTGTACGTGAAGTAGACAATATCATTTAAAGTGATAAGTTAAAGCTGCATATTATTAACTTTAGACCAATTCCTAAAAAAAAAAAAATCAATGAAGAGATACAGCTAGCTAAGAAACCAATACTTGCATTGCTCTAAAAATACAGTATTCATCCAAAAGAATGCAAGGAAAATGGGACAAAAAAATAGATGAGATAAATAGAAACAAACCATATCAATAAGTACATTACATATATTATTAAATAGTCTAAACATCCCACTTAAAGGCACAAATGGTTGGAACAGAAAAAGAATTAAGAGCCAACTATATGTTGTCTATAAAAGAAACTGACTTTAAACACAGGCAGTCTTTAAAGTCCTTAAAGTTTAAAGTCCTTAAAGTCCTTACATGGTTTGAACTAAGAGTAAATCTCAGTTACCAAGGAACTATGCAAAGTGATGACTGTCTGTATAAAGTCACAGGTTAATAGTTAAAAAAGGATGGGAAAGGATACCTTGCAAACACCAATCACAAGAAACCTGGAATGGTGGCTGGACACAGTGGCTCATGCCTTTAACTCTAGCACTTGGGAGGCCAAGGTGGGTAGATTGCTTGAGCTCAGGCGTTCCAGACCAGCCTTAGCAAGAATGAAAACTTGTCTCAAAAAAAAAAAAAAAAGCCCAGCGTTGTGGTGAATGCCTGTAGCCCCATCTACTCTGGAGGCTGAGGCAAGAGCATCACTTGAGCCAAAGAGTTTGAGGTTGCTGTGAGCTCTGACAGCACAGTACCCTACCAAGGGTGACAAAATGAGACTCTGTCTCAAAAAAAAAAAAAAAAAAAAAAGTTGTAATGGCTGTATCAATATAAAAAAAAGATTTCAAATGGGTAAATATTATTAGGGATAAAAGATACAGTTTACAAAGCTAAAGGGGTTGATTCTAGTAAGATAAAATCATAACACCTAACAGATTCCAACATACAAGCAGTAAAAACTGATGGAAATGAGAAGAGAAATAGACAAACCCATTATTCTGCCTGGAGTCTTGAACATACTCCAACCTTATAACTGAAGAAAAACTAGACAGGAAATGAGCTATATAGAAGATCTAAATATCACAAACAATTCAAACTGACAAATAACTACTCACATTCTTGTCAAGTTCACATGAACATTCACCTTGTGTTGGGTCATAACAAGTTTCAATAAATTGAAAAAACTGAAAGCATACAGACTTATGTTCTCTGACCTTAACAGAATTAAATGAAGAATATTAACAGAAAACTAGCTAGAAAATCACTAAATATTTGGAAACTAAACAACATACTTCTAAATAACACACGAGTTAAAGAAAAAAAATCACAAGAGTGATTAAGAAATATTTCAAAATGAATAATAATGAAAAAAGAATATGTCAAATTTGTGGATATAGCTAAAGCAGTACATGAAGGCACATTTACAGCTCTGATGAGAAATGAAGAAAAGTCTAAAATCAACTATCTAAGCTTCTACTGTAATGAGATTGAGAAGAAAATATAAAGTATGAAAATCAACGAATTTGAGTGAAAATCAGTAACAAATAATTGAGAAAAGCCCATGAAGCCAGAAGTTGGTCCCTTGAAAAGATTAATGAAATTAATATTTAGAAAGACTAACTGAAAAAAAATCAATAATATGAGAAGAGAGGTTTTCATATAGATCCTACAAATACCAAATGGAATGTTATGAACTACAATAAATTCAACAACTTAGATGAAACAAATTCTTTTGAAAAACATAAATTACCAAAACTTACTCAAGAAGAAATAGATAATCTGATTAAGTTCTCTACCTAGTAAGACAATTTAATTTGTAATTTAAAACTTTCCCCTCAAATGCCAGGTTCAGATGGTTTCATTACTGAACTCTAGAAACAAGATAAAATGGTAGAAACTCTATACAATTCCTTAAAAAAAAGAAGAGCAGGAAACAGATACATACCAAATCCATTAGAATAAAACAAAACAGATCAGTATCCCCATACACATGGATATAAAATGTTAGCAAATCAAATTCATCAATGTATTAATTAAAAAGGTAATAGACACCATGACCAAGAAGATTTTATCCCAAGAATACTGGCTGGTTTGATGCTTGAAAATCAACGTACTTCCCCATATTAATGAAGACAAAAAACCATTTGAACAGTTGAAAACTGTTAAGTTTTAAAATAGGAATCTCTGCCCTCCCCCCACAAATGGTTATTCTATCTACTTTAATTGGCCATGAATCAATGTGTTCTGATATAAAAAGAGTTCTAATCTAGAACCTGAAAAACTGGATTTACCTGCCTACATAAGAGTGGCAAACCCCAAACACTCAAACATTCTATAGGAATGAATTACATTTGAAGGGAAGTATATGCTGGGTGTGGTGGTGAGTACCTGTAGTCCCAGCTACGTAAGCAGCTTACCCAAAGTCACACCACTAGTAAGTGATGGAACTTAGACTTAAACCTAACAGGCATCATGATCTATGGTTCATTAATAATACTTATATAGTACAAATATAATACTTCTTTTCTCTCCTCCCCTCTCCTTCTCTCTTCTTTTTTTTTTTTTTTTTTTTTTTTGAGACAGGGTCTTGCTCTGTTGCTTGGTCTATAGACAGTGGCATCATTGTAGTTCACGGCAGCCTCCAACTCCTGGGCTAAAGTAATCTAACCATAGCTTCCCAAGTACCTGAAACTACAGGTACATGACACCATATCCTAAATTTTTGTTTGTTTTTTGCAGAGACAGAGTCTAACTATGTTGCCCAGGCTGGTCTCAAACACCCAAGCTCAACTGATCACCTCCTCTTGGCCTCCCAGTGTTGGGATTAGTGTAAGCCACTGTGCCCCACCAACCATTTGGCTCTTTCAAACTTAAACCCCTCTTTTTGGTTTGTGGCCTTTTGAAACAGTCCAATTTGGAGGTCTGCATTTGAAGAAACATAATTTGAGGGAGTTGTAAAATTGTGCTTAAATTCTAATATGGTTTAAAAATATATGCTAAAATGGTAACATGTAGAACTGATATCAAAACAACCCATTTAGAAGTATTTCTCACAGATTTTAACATCTTAATGCTTCTTACAGCCCCAGATCTGAGTTTAACCTCTTCCTTGCTTCAGTCTTACTTGAGGAACCCTTCCATTGTTTAAGATTCTACTACTCATGCAGTAAAATTCACTACTATGTTCAGGTCCTACACACTTTCGTGATAATTTTTGTTGTTCTTTCCACAGAAATCTATAGTAAAAGACAAAAGATTTATACATCTGAAGAGAAGCCAGAGCATGCACTCAACATACTTTTATGTTAATTCTTTATTTGAGATAGATCTTAATCATGAAGACACAATTGTTAAAATCTGTAAGAATCAGACTGATCCTATCCATTTAGAATCCACTTAAATAAGCAGCCTTCTAGATGTTATTCTGTGGTTTAGAGAAGGTCCACTTTATTTCCTAACTCCCTATGTGTTTTATTTATGTGTTTATTCTTAACTCCCTATGTGTTAAAACCCTCCCTATCTTACCTATCTACCAAGGGTAACAGTGTGAGACTGTCTCAATAAATAAATAAATAAATAAATAAATAAATAAATACATAACAGTACAGTTAATACAGAAAGCTAGAAATTTGATAGTGACCTGGATGGCTTAATAAGCTGAATTCATACTACAGAAAATAATTCTTAAGACTTAGGAATGTAAAGGGGCTTTCTTCTTAATACAGGGCATTTTAAACCATTAGTCAAAATGAATTCAGACAAAATCAAATATATCTTTTAATAGGTAGTATCTTGTCATCTATAAAAGAAAAGGCTATGCTTTTATTTATTGTGTAGGAAGACAGATAGCAAATGTCACACAGAAAGACTATCACGGAAGGCAACATAGGCAGCTTCTTTAGACTTTAAAGTCCCTAAACCTAAGCTTAGAATTTTTTTTTTCTTTTGAGACAGAGTCTCAAGCTGTCCCCCTGGGTAGAGTGCTGTGGCATCAGAGCTCACAGCAACCTCCAACTTGTAAGCTCAAGCGAGTCTCCTGCCTCTGCCTCCCAAGTAGCTGGGACCACAGGCGCCTGCCATAACGCCCAGCTATATTTTGGTTGCAGCCGTCATTGTTGTTTTGGAGGGCCCAGGCTGCTTTTGAACCCACCACCTTAGGTGTATGTGGCTGACGCTTTAGCCTCTTGAGCCACAGGCGCCGAGCCAAGCTTAGACTTTTAAGTCCCCATACCTAAGCTAAGTCTAAGTTTAGTAAGCTAGTATGCAGCTCGCCAGACTTATATTCTCTAAGCATAAGGTTCTATAAAATAAAAGGGTGACATCTCAAAGATCCATTGCATAATGTACACAGCTATGATTTAATAAAGAAGAGGAAAAAAAGATCCAGTGTAGTTTTCTTTCTTTCTTCAAAATTAAAAATGGTGGCAGTCTCAGGATAAAGATATGAAAATAAAAGTATCCAATGTTTCACTTTAGAGAGAAGAAAGCAAGTGTCTAGCTTGTTTTCGTGGGATTCAGTAATCTGGTAACAGTTTTCTCTGTTATCACTTGTTATAAATACAACTGAGAAGCAGGAAATGTAATAGGTGTTTAAAGAATAACTCCATCTTCATATCAGTATATTAGAAACAAGAGTAAGAAATAAATACTGTTTTTCTTAAAATTAAAAAGAAAATAAGCAGTAACCATCTGTTAAGGAATATTTTAATAAAGCCAAAGTAGTTTATGTTTCAAAATCCAGGTAGCTTTTACTAAGCTACCAGAGTAAGCTATGATCCATTAAAAAAAGAAGAAAATTCCCATGTTACAGATAGATATAAACATCATCTTTCATATTAAAGCCCAACTCTTCCTTATTCAACATCCTCTAACTACACAAACATTGATTATCTCTAGACTGGTCAATATTAAAAGTGCCACCATCTTCATCCAGTTACATTCAAATCTTCCCTTCATTCTATTATATAAACACTTTTAGACGCCGTATTCTTATCCTAAGTATAGCTCCTACTTTAATTACACATCTTGTCCTAAGATACACATAAGAATTCTCAGTTGGTAAAGCCTAAGTAAAATACCCTGTAGAGTCAGGTTTTTGCAACAGTAAGACATACGCTTATTCACTAAACATGCTGGACTATCCATATAAACCTTGGATTAAGAACTGCGACACTGCATCAGATCAACAGCCTACCCACAGCTCTTTTAGGGAGCCTAAAAGAGAAGCTGTAGAAGATAAACTGGTTTACTCTAATAAATTTCACAATAAAGCCTCATGCATTATCATCTGTGACATCATTTTTTTGTTTGTTTAAGACAGAGCCTCAAGCTGTCACCCTGGGTAGAGTGCCGTAAAATCCCAGCTCACAGCAACCTCCAACTCCTGGGCTCAAGCGAGTCTCCTGCCTCAGCCTCCCAAGTAGCTGGGACTACAGGTGCCCGCCACAATGCCCAGCTATTCTTTGGTTGCAGCCGTCATTGTCATTTGGTGGGCCCGGGCTGGATTTGAACCCACCACCTTAGGTGTATGTGGCTAGTGTCTCAGCCACTTGAGCCACAGGCACCGAGCCTTTTTTTTTTTTTTGAGACACTGTTTCACTATGTCATCCTCGGCAGAGTGCCATGGTGTCACTGCTCACAGCAACCTCAACTCTTGGGCTTAAGTGATTCTCTTGCCTCAGTCTCCCAAGTAGCTGGGGCTACTGGCACCTGCCACAACACCTAGCTATTTTTTTTTTTTTTTTTTTGCAGTTGTCATTGTTGTTTAGCAAGCCTGGGCCAGGTTAGAACCCACCAGCCTTGGTGCATGTGGCCAGCGCTATAACCACTATGCTAAGGATGCCGAACCAGACATCATCTTTTTAAAATTTTTTTAGAGACAGAATCTTGCTCTGCCACCCAGGCTGCAATGCAATAGTGGGATCACAGCTCACTGCATCCTCAAAGTCCTTGGCTAAACAGATCCTCCTGCTTCAGCCTCAGTCTTCCAAGTAGCTGGGACTACAGCCAATAACACCACACCCAGCTAATTTTTTTATTTTTTGGTAAAGACAGGATCACACTATGATAGGCTGACTGGTTGGTCTCAAACTCCTGGTCTCAAGCAATCCTCCCATCTCAGCCTCCCAAAGTGCTAGGACTATAGAACTATACAGCACTGGGCCTGTAACATCATCTTTAAAGGAAAAGCATGTATCCTGAACATCAATGACTTCTCAGAAAGACTCTTTAAAAAATTCTGTTTCTTCCAACTTTTAAAATACACAGGGTAATACAACCACAAGAATAGGGCTGTTATGTTTTCCAAATGAGATAATGTATGTAAATGTGCTCTAAAAAGAGAAATACCCTATAACATTAAAACAAATTTTACCATGCTCTTCTTTAAGGCCCTCTCTCTGTCTACCTAAGGTACTACAAACACATTATGCAAGGGTTCTCAGAGCAAAGAGAAGTAACTTTCTTTTCACTATTAGAATTTTCTTTGATATTTTTTTCTCCTTATTCTTTCATCATATCACTTTTGCCTTTTTCTTCCAAAATGGCAACACATTTCTCCATTAAGCCAGCCTTCCTTTACACCAAAGGCAAAAAGCAACTAAACGAACCACACTCCACTGAAACAATGGACATTGTGACCTACCTTCTGGCTCACTCTCCGACCCTGAAAGATTGCCATAGCTGCTCATCAGTGAGCACAGGGCCGGTGTCACTTCCTTGGGTATGACAGTACGTTGTGGTTTCTCCTCCTTATCAGACTCTGAAATAAAAGGGAAAGAACTCTAATTCACATAGGGCACCTCCAAACAGCTACCACCATACGAAAGACGGCTGATCATCCCTTCCTCTCTCACCTCTTAGTGAAAAGAAAGTAATTTCTAATCATTTCCTTAATCTTCCCAAAAAACTAATTCCAAGAGACCCCAAAACTTTCCCATTGGATTAAATCTTCAGGGGCAGCGCCTGTGGCTCAAGGAGTAGGGTGCCAGCCCCATATACTAGAGGTGGCAGGTTCAAAGCTGGGCCTGGCCAAAAAAAAAAAAAAAAACTTCATGGGCAGAGAAGTTATTTGCCCCGGGGTGGGGGGTAGGGGTAGAAGTGATAACACAGCTCAGCTACTAAGCTTCGCAGGTTATGGAATTTAGATCTTCTCTAAATTAACTTAATTGTATAGTTCTTTGCTACTATTAATTTACAGGCAGTAGGAAGGCCAAAAATTTATTTAACTTTTGTAGGTTAGAATCACTGATTGAATTTAGGCTTGGGCAAAGAGTTATGCTGAAATGTATTCTCCCAAAGTTTTTACTATTTAGAACTTGTAAAAACTTAAATAAATAAGACAGCCAGGAGAATTTAGCAAGTGCTAAAGAGACTGCCAAAGGTAAAAGTGTTTGGTCAGGGTCCAGCAAGCCTAGTTGTAACCCCAAGACATCACCTATTACATTTCCTTTTGGCAGCTTTAAAAATGTATTAGCTCTATTCTAGGCAGCCAATAAAAATAAAGCCTCACAAAAGACTAATTTGTTATTTAATGAGCCAACTCAGCCCACAACCAATTTGAAGTATTTCAAGACTGAGCACTTCATGTTCACCAAGTCAGTCTAGGAGAAACCAAAACATGCCAGTGGGAAATTGGGGTGTCCTTTTATATGAACATTGAACTACCACCTTCTGCTCGAAGAATTTAAGTCCTCTCTCCTCCATCCACCCATACTACCCAGCACCCATACCCCCTGCCCAAACTATTCCTTGTCAATTTTAAGCTAAATTATCACCTTTTCTCCTAGATTAATAAATGGAAAGGAAATATGCAGTATCTGTATGTAGGTGACTAACAGATTAAGCAGAAATCTGCCAAAATGTCAGTATGAAGACTTTTCATCCAATGTTTGAATGACAAAAGACCAAACTATAGTAGCATTTCTAAGACCTAAAAAGAGGTACCAAAAAGTATAGTTACAGTTGAATGTTATGCTCCTTAAAAGCATGATCCAATTCAATCCTTGCAAGGTATCTTATCACTTGCACATAAATTATAGGTGATGAAATCCAAATTCAGAGAATTTGAGTAACTTTTCCTTTAAACATAACTATAAAACCATTGGATCAAATTTAAATCCTTGCTATCTGACTCCAAATCCCAATTCTTGACTAGTGAGCAAGAATACCTCCTTCAGATTTAGTCTTCTTCTGAAAATGAAGTCATCCTGTCAAAGTGCTTTTATGATCAGTGATAATGTTAAAGTCTTCCAGCTACAGCTCTATTTCTTTGCTCCTTTTTATAGCAACACACCAAACAGCTACTGATACACAAGCACATCTTAGAGATATTACAGTTCAATTCCAGACCACTGCCATAAAGTGAGTCACGCAAACTTTGGTGTCCAAGTACATATGAACGTTACATTTACAGTATACCATAGCATAGTAAGTGTGGAATAAAATTATGTCTAAAACAATACAATCTGAATTTTAAAATATTATATTTTTAAAAAATGATCATCTGAGCTTTCAATGAGCAGTCATCTTTTACTGGCGTTGAGTCTTGCCTTGATGTTGATGGCTTGTGACTCATCAGAGTGGGGGTTGCTGAAGGCAGGGGTGACTGTGGTAATTTATCTGCCCTGATTGCTATCCACTCTGGTATCAGCCCCTCACTTTATTCAGATGTCTTTTTTATTTTTTTGAGACAGAGTCTCATTATGTCACCCTTGTTAGAGTGCCACTGCGTCATAGCTCACAGCAGCCTCAAGCTCCTGGGTTCAAGCAATCATCTTGCGTCAGCTTCCCAAGTAGCTCGGACTACAGGCACTGGCCACATGCCCAGCTATTTTTAGAGACAGGGTCTCGCTCTGGCTCAGGCTGATCTCAAACCTGTGAGCTTAAGCAATCCACCTGCCTCAGCCTCCTGGAGTGCTAGGATTATGGGCATGAGCCACCACACCTGACCCTATTCATCAGAGATGTCCTTTACTGATCATCCCGTAAAAAAACAGCACACCTCCATCTTCCCCAGTCAGCACATAAGCTACAGGACAGAAGGGGTTTAGCTTTGTTCAATGCTGTAACCTCAGAGCCCAGAACAGTATATAACTGCTCAAAAAATATTTGGAGAACAAATTGTTACATGAATGAATGAAGTTCAAAATAGTTAACTAACATAGAATCATAGAACTAGTTAAGAAGTGGTGCCAGGATAGAAACCTAGTTCTACGAGGATCTGACGTTCACTCTTTTCTCTATTTTTAATAACATGATTTCATTTTTATCTAAAAAAAAAATATATGCGTGCATAGGAAAAATATTGGAAGAATATAGAGCAAAATATGACCAGTGGCCATCTCTAATAAGTTAACAAAGTAGAACAGCGCCTGTGGCTCAAAGGAGTCAGGTGCCGGCCCCATATTCGGGAGGTGGCAGGTTCAAACCTGGCCCCTGGCCAAAAACTGCAAAAAAAAAAAAAAGTTAACAAAGTAGATTTGTGTGTGTGCTTTTCAGTTTTCCCCCACATTTTCTATGTTACTTTTGTAATCAGAAAATAATGGAAAAAAAAAAAGAAAACAAAGGGAAATAAACCCTGGAGGATAATGTTGCTTACAATTCAATTGAAGAAGAAGAGGGCAAACTTTTAACTGGCCTACATGTAGTCCCCTTTCCTTCCTCCTTTAAAAAAGAAACTTTATGGGGTGGCACCTGTGGTTCAGTGAGTAGGGCACTAGCCCTCTGTACCGAGGATGGAGGGTTCAAACCCAGCCCCAGCCAAACCGCAACAAAAAATAGCCAGGTATTGTGGTGGGCACCTGTGGCCCCAGCTACTTGGGAGGCTGAGGCAAGAGAATCACCTAAGCCTAGGAGTTGGAGGTTGCTGTGAGCTGTGACGCCAAAAAATAAATAAATTAAATAAAACCTTTACCACTATTTAAAGAAAAAAAAAAAAGAAACTTTATGCGCTGTATTTTGAAACAATTTTGAATTTATTCAAATATTGCAAAGATGGTAGAGTTCCCTATACCTTCACCCAGCTTCTTGATGTTACCATCTTACATAACCAAAGAACATTTACCATCACTAACCAAGTTAACACTGGCACAACACTACGGCCTACACTCCAGACTGTACTGGCATTTTACCAGTGTTGTTTCCACTAATGATGTGTTTTCTGTTCCAGGGTCCAATCTGCCATGGTACCTGGCATTTAGTTGTCACCGATGCCTTAGTAAATCTCAGTTTCTCTTATCCTTGTTTTCCATGAACTTGATACTTCTGGAGACTACTGGTCAGGTATTTGTAGAATGTCCTTCAGTCTCCATTTGTCTGACATTTCTGATGATTAGACTGACACTACAGATTTGGGGGAAGAATGCCAGAGAGGACATGCACCCTTCTATCAGATCACAGGTCTGTGACATCAGTGACTTATTACTGATGATGCTAACCTTGATCACTTGGTGGTCTGCCTTATTTCTCCACTAGAGAGTTACTGGTTTTCCCTTTCAATATTCTATTCCTTGAAATTGAGTTAGTAACCCAGCACATACTCAAACGGAAAATTAAGCTTCAACTTAAGAAGTATCAAAGAATTTTGGACATGTTAAAACCATCACAGTAGGCTCGGTGCCTATATATAGCTCAGTGGTTAGGGTGCCGGCCACATGCACTGGGGCTGGAGGATTCGAACCCAGCCCAGGCCTGCTAAACAAAAATGACTACAAAAACAAAAAAAAAAAAGCCAGGCATTGTGGCAGGCACCTGTAGTTCCAGCTACTTGGAAGGCTGAGGCAAGATAATCGCTTAAGCCCAAATTTGAAGTTGCTTTGAGCTGCGACACCACTGCACTCTACTGAGGGCAACTCTGTCTCAAAAAAAAAAAATCACAGTAATTAATAAATATTTTGGGGCGGATGTTTTGAGGTTATGCAGTTTTGAGGTCATCTTAAAAGTTTCACCACTAATTTTACCATTCATTAGTGGATCCTGCCTGAAACAATTATTACAAAGGCATTCTTTTTTTTATTTATTTTTATTTTTTTTATTGAATGGTAACTATGTAACATTAATGCACTACAAAGGCATTCTAATGTTGATTTTCTATTTCTCTCATTTCTTCTATATCTATTAATTGGAATTCTTCTATAAGAAACATCTGTCCCTCCTACCTCATGTTTACTTATTTAAGCACTTATATCAGTATATTCTCATGGATATTTATTTTATTTGGAGGGTTAGAATTTATATATTGTTTTGAAGATTAAATTGTTCCAACTTTGGCCATGGCTAGCTCTTTCTAGGATCCTTCTGACATGTTCACATCTTTATAGGTTTTGAGCATTTTCTTGATTTCTTAATAATGAGATATTCTAGGCTCACCTTGTATTATCCTTGTTTCAACCCCAGAATCAGCCGTTGATCTAAGGAGCCCTGCCTCTCGCAGTCAGAAAATGTTATTTGGAAATCACAATTTGAGTGCTAGGTACCCTCCTCACTAAGGTGTCACAAAGCTCACTTGACTGCCTTCCCAAAGAGCAAGAGTTAGGAATTCATGCAAATAAACAACTCTTCTCTTTTTTCTTCTCCCCTCAATTATATGTTTAAGTGACCTACCACATGTGATAACACTTTGAAAAGGAGTACTGTCCTTCTGGCACCATCAAACATCTTTTATAATGACTTTTCAGCTAAAAAAAAATCCTACTCCTGAAGGCCCTGGGATCTACCTCGCAGTCCTAATGCAGGCATTTTTAGTAACTGTCTGGAAAGACTATGCTGAAGGCAGTGTACTAGCTGAAAAAATAATATTCATGAAACTTCATTTTATAAAAACAGCTAAAACATCTTTCTAAACTAAAAATACCAGTATAAAGATAGTAGCAATCAAAGTGATAAAACCAAACTTCTTCACTTGTCCTCCCTCCCCCCACCATTTCCTATTGTCTGTAAGGAGCAAAGCACAAGTATATGCTCTAGCCCAAGAGGACGTATATAATTAAGCCTCCTGCAAAAGTGTCACAGATTGAAAAAGCCACTCCCCAAACTGAGAACTTTGCTTTACTGTCCCCAGGTCTCAGTGATGACCGTGATGGACACTCGTGACTGCAGATGGGCTATGCCAGCTTATTTTCTTACTTTAGCATCTACCTTCCTCTCTGAGATCCCAATTCTACTAAAAATAGAAAAATTAGCTGGGCATCGTGGTGCATGCAGTTGTCCCAGCTACACAGGAGGCAAAGACAGGAGTATAGTTTAAGCCCTCGAGTTTGAGGTTGTAGTGAGCTACAGTGACACCACTGCACTCTACCCAGGGTGAGAGAGAGAGAGCCTGTCTCAAAAATAAAAAAAAAATAAAAAATTAAGGCCACATTACTGAACAGCTGCTTTCTTCTAGCTGAGACACAGACTTACTGTTTAAGACTACAGGCTAGGGGTTCGGCGCCCGTAGTTTCAGCGCCAGCCACATATGGTAGGTTCAAACACAGCCTGAGCCAGCTAGAACAACAACTACAACAAAAAATAGCTGGGCATTGCGGCGGGTGCCTGTAGTTCCAGCTACTTGGGAGGCTGAGGCAAGAGAATCACTTAAGCCCAAGAGTTGGAGGTGGCTGTGAGCTGTGACACCATGGCACTCTAACAAGGGTGACATGGTGAGACTGTCTCCAAAAAAAAAAAAAAACCAAAAACACACCATAGCCTAGGAAAGCCATAAACTTACAGCATATATGCTGAAACACAATAGCAAATTGTAAATACCAAATTGTAAAAAGATTAAAACAAAAACCTCCTTGAATTAGGCTACTAGGTTAGTTAGCAGAATATACAATAAAAATTATTGCCCCAGTAAGGAAATACAGTGACAAGTCTTGCTCAAAACTAATAAGTTGAGAAACAACACAGCAAGACCCTGTCTCTACAAAAAAATAAGAAAAACTAGCTGGGCATGGTGGTGTCTGCCTATAGTCCCAGCTACTTGAGAGGCTGAGGCAGGAGGATCACTTGAGCTCAGGAGTTGGAGCTATGATCATACCACTCTACTCTAGCCAGGGCAACAGAGCAAGACTCTGTCTCAACAAAAAAAAAGAAACAAGCTCAGGCAACAATTTTCTAAGCATAATCTGATGTTTATAAAATCCTCCAGAATTACTACTGGCTTGTCTAAAGTGTGAGTACTCATGTCTTGTTATGTTCTGAGCCAGAAAAATGTAAAAAATTGGAAGGAAGTGGGAGAACTTCATTCTTAAAGTGAGCTTAGTGCTGGAAAGTGTCAGCTGCCACATGAGAGCAGTGGGCCCATGCTATCACAACACTGGCTCACCATTGGGAACTTGAATAACCAGATCTTAAGGTTGGCTGGCTCTGGCCCAAGGTAAGAGAAGCTGCCTCCAAATAAGCAGAAGACATATACTAGAGAATGGAGCTGTTGAGACTATTTAGGGTATATGAAAAAATAGTATATGAAAGAAATAATAAGAAACTATGAAGAAACACTGATTTGGAAAATGTCCAAGTCCAGAGGAATTCCCAGGTAAAGGATAATATGAATTTAAATGGTATCTTTCCTATGAAATTGGCTACCATAATTTGATCATTGGTACTGTCATTTCCTTGGAGATAAATATTACAAAAATAAATATAAAATTTTTTTAACTATAAATTGATAGATTTAATGGATATTTTTTATATTAAAGATTTATGGTCTGGTCTCTGACCCTCAAAACAGATGTGTCTCCATCCTTAACCCAAAGTATTGGTAAGGTTTCAACATCTAAGCCAAAATGAATTATCGGAGATCTCTCATTCAACTGCGCCTGGGAATCCAACTGAATCCATTCTATCAATGAGGATGAGAGGGACTTATCCCATCCTTATCATGTCTAGGAAACATTCAGTGTCTGTTGAGCACTTAGATACAGGCTTAAGAGAAGCAAGGTGACAATCATCTTCTAGTTGATGTTTTGCTAGCTTGATTCATACTGAAATATTCCTTTAGATACGTGATGAAGTAGTGGAGTCAGGCTCCTAAATTCAAATCCTAGTTCTCCTACTAACCGGAAACATGACTAAGGTAAACTACTTAGTTTCTATGTTCCTCACTTCTAAAACAGGAGTAGCAACCGTACATATGCAAAAGGCTGATATGAGCACAAGAGTTACTATCTATAGCATATAGAGCACAGTAACTACCTCACTTGTAAATAAGTGTTCGATGTTAAGATGTTATAATTCATATTATACCTATTAAATGTTATCTTATTATATTCAGTCCAACATTCCATTATGCCAAGAGCCTTCCCCATCCTAATTTAATCAATGAATTAGTAATTTTTCCATTTCTTGCCATTCATAAGTTTAAAAACAAATATCGAATTATCACAGAAGCACTGTCATCCAACCTAAAGAGAACCTACAATCAAACCTATAACGTAACATCAGCCTACTCACTAATAATCTTTGGATACTCCTTTGGCAGTAATAAGATCACGCAATTAAATAAAGCCTCACAATGTTACCGGAAGAAATGAAGTCTCAGCTGAATGGTATCTGTACGCAATAGCAGCATTTTGGCATTTTAATTTTTCAACTTATAAGCAAGAGTCAACTTGCCCTATAAATTCTAGAGAGAATTCAAGGATAAAGTATAAATATGTATAAATATATTCCATGCTCTAAGGAAGAAAGGTATTATTATTCAGATGCAATGAATTTCTTCTTTTTTTTTTTTGAGACAGAGTTTTACTTTGTTACCCTCGGTAGAATGCCATGGAGTTACAGCTCACAGCAACCTCCAATTCTTGGGCTCAAGCAATTCTCTTGCCTCATCCTCCAGAGTAGCTGGGACTACAGGTGCCTGCCACAACGCCCACCTATTTTTAGAGATGAGGTCTCACTGTGGCTTAGGCTGGTCTCGAACCTGTGAGCTCAGGCAATCCACCCACCTCGGCCTCTCAGAGTGCTAGGATTATAGGTGTGAGTCACTGCCCCAGCCTAGAATTTCTTCTTTACAGGTGAGAAAACATACACATAATTGGGAAAATTTCAATCTACAGTATTGCTACATTCAAAACCATCTCAAGAAAATTTCCAAGATTACATCATACTATGGAAATTATCCAACAAATACAGTCCTGCTCCCACAGCCTGCCTGTCCCACATACCCTAAGATTCAGAAAAAATGTTCTGAAATAACGTTTCAGACAAGACATTCCTACTAAAGACAAAAACGAACAAAAGCATTGTTCTTTTTTATCGAAAGCTCACACCAACCTCCAGCTCTTGGGCTTAGTTGATTCTCTTGCCTCAGCAGCCTCCTGAGTAGCTGGGACTACAGGTGCCCGCCATAACGCCTGGCTATTTTTTGTTGCGATTTGGCTGGGGCCATGTTCAAACTCGCCACCCTTTGTATATGGGGATGGCGTCTCTACTCACTGAGCCACAGGTGCCGCCCGCATTATTCTATGTTTTTAACATAGTTTAAATTGTACGTGAACTTTATGTCCACTCTGTATTTGACATTAAACTTTCTACAAATAGGGCTGTGAATAATCAACTTTAGCACCACTGTCTATACACTTGTAAACATGTTATTTTCCTGTTTAGCTTACCAGAATCACTGTTTATCAAAACACCAAGAGGATCTGGATTTCCCTCAGGTAGACCTTTGAGCTTGAAATCACGCAAGCCATTCCCTGCTCCAGTGATCGCTCTCTGTCTCGCACCACCCTTTTTCCATCTGTGATGTTTCCCAGGACTTCGGATCTTTGCCATATGTGAATGTCTGGCCATCCCCTTCATCTTGCTGGAGAAAAAAAAACCACAATTCTTTATACAAAAGGCACTGATCTTTCAGGAAACATTTTAAAAGACTACTAGATGTAAAAGAAACCTAGATGTCAAATCAATCCCTTATAGCCTTATACATTAAACAGGCCAAAATACCAGAAATTCAGTGGCTTCCAAAGACAGAGGACTTCAAAAGAAAAACACACCACAATATACTACACCTTGTTGATTCTAAGCTGTGCATTTCCTCCCCTATTTTTGCCCTCTGAAATTACACTATTGTAAAAACAACAACAACAAAAGAAATTACGTTATTGTGCAATGGTCAGCTGGTCAATTTAATTGACAGCATTCTTTCATTCCTGCTGTACATAAAAGTGTTTCTTAGAGGGCTGGGCATGGTGGCTCATGCCTGTAATCCTAGCACTAGGGGAGGCTGAGGTGGATGGACTGCCTGAGCTCCGAGGTTCGAGACCAGCCTGTGCCAAAGTGAGTCTTGGTCTCTAAAAATAGCTGGGTATTGTGGCAGGCACCTCTAGTCCCAGCTAATGGGGAGGCTGAAGCAAGAGAACTGCTTGAGCCCAAGAGTTTGAGATTGCTGTGAGCTGTGACGCCATAGCACTGTACCAAGGGCGACAAAGTGAGAAGACACTGTTTCAAAAAAAAAAAAGTGTTTCTTAGAGTTTACCTTAACTCTCATCTACATTCTTGTAAGAAGACTTCAAGTTTCTGAAACATTTACAAATATGCTATCTTATTCAACGTTCATAAATAACCTTATTTATGTATTTTTAGTCATATGTGTATATAGTAGTGTATCTTTATAGTGTACATTTGATGCTTTGACAGAGGCATATAAAGTGAATTAATCAAATCAGGGTAACAGGCATTGAATATTTGTGTTAGAAATTATTTCTTATTATTGATTATAGTCGCTTTATTGTGCTATCAAATATTGTTCAATCTATCTGTGTTTTTGCACCCATTGATCATTCCTACTTTATCACCCCCTTCCCACTACCCTTGCCAACTTCTGGTAACCATCAGTCTACTCTCTGTCTCTATGAGATCAATTATTTTTAATACTTAGCTCCCATATATGAGTTAGAATATGCAAGATTTGGCTCAGTCCCCGCACCTCAGTGAGTAGGGCACTGGCCACATACACCGAGGCTGGCAGGTTTGAGCCCAGCCCAGGCCTGCTGAACAACAATGACAACTGCAACCAAAAAATAGCCAGGTGTTGTAGCGGGCACCTGTTGTCCCAGCAACTTGG